GGCCGTGGGTGGCAAGGGAAGTAGCCGTCCTGCCCCATGTCCCCAGATGCCAGCCCCTGGGGGACTGCTCCGGCCGATCGGGTTTCCACAGCCCCTGCTCCTGGGCAGCTTGGAGACCTGGAAACGCTTGGGCCTACTGGGTGATTAGTGAGGAGGCAGCCAGGGCCGAGGAGGCCATGATGGAGCGAGGTCTGGGGCCCTGAGCCGGGAGCCTCTGCCAGTGGAGTTGGGAGCTACTGAAATCTGCCAGGGCACAACATGAGCTGGGGGATGGGGACAGGAGTTAGGGCTGCGAGCAGCACACGCTTCCTGTGCCCAGAGAGGTTTTTGCTATGGGGCACATGCGCTCACCAGAGAGACATCACCCCCCAGGGGGATGGCCATGCCACAATCCCTTGTCCTCCATTCTCCTCTCGGGATCTTAGGCACGCATGCACACATGCCTGGCCTGAGTTTAAGCCCCCGGGTTCAGGACTCGAACCACAGTCGACTACACGGGAGTCCTGCGACACAGCCATTTTATTACGGGGAGACACGGGAACACAGAGTCCTGCATCCTGCCCGAGCCACGCTGAGGCTGACACTTGCTTCTCCCCATAGGACCTCCTGCTCAGCGTGTGTGCCCTCAACGTCTTGTCCACGGTGGTGTGCGCACTGGCCACAGCCACGTGCTGCATGCAGGTGGTGTCCTCTGACGTCCTGCGCATGGTGAGTGGCCGCCCAGCACACCATCATGTGAGGGGACCCTTCACCTTCCAGCGCAGTGGTGGGGGCACGCCCACGGGTGGATGAGTCCTGCTTCATGGCTGCCTCTGGACAGCCCCTGGCGGGTGCCCTAAGCAGGCAGAGCCGCGGCCCCAGGCACCCTCGGGGCACCTTCCTCAGGCATCAGGATGCTTGGTAAGAGGAGCGGGGGTTCTGCTCGGACAGGAACTGCCAGCCCGAGCCCCGGACCTGCTGCAGGCCCCGGGCATCGCCCACCCTGGCTGCCTGAGTCCACAACACTGCTCGCAGGAGCCTCGCAGCCAGGGCAGGGTCACATGCACCCAGACACACACTGATGCACGCACACAGATGCATGCATCCACACAATTAGGTGCACACACAGACGCATGTGCTTAGGCACGTACACACTCACACCGACACATGTGCATGCACACACAAACGCACTTGGGCACACACATGCTTAGGCATGTACACAGGTGCACACACACATACACACCACACCCTTACACAGAAGCACACACTTAGGCATGTACACACGTGTGCACACAGTAATGCAGGTGTGTGCTTAGGCACACGTATACCACACTCATGGAGACACATGCATAGGAATGCACACATACTCAACAGCCAAACACACTTAGATGTGTGCACACCCCCTTCAGTAAGAGGCTGTGTGTGGACTCTGTGAGCGGGACACGGCTGTGACCACTGAGCTCTGCAGGCCAAGGGGGAACTGGAATGATGCAGTTCGGTGCTCAGGGGACAGCTCTCTCCCCCTTCTTCCCCCCGCTTCCTTTCCATCTCCCCATCTGTCTCACCGCCTCCCTCCCCTTCCTCTCCATCTCTGTCTTCTCCACAACATGCATTTGGAAAAGCTGGGGGAGCTCCAGGGAGGTGGCACAGGGGTGGCCTGGAGGCACCCTTACTCAGGTGCCACGAGCCTGACCCAGCCATGGTTCTGCCTAGTCTAACCCAAGGCTCGTCTGGCCTCCCCCGTAACTCACTCATTTCCAGTTCCTTCCCCAGAGGTCACGGTCGGGGCCCCCTGCCTGCGTGCCCCCCCAGGGCACTGTCCTACCCCAGAGTCTGGACCTGGATGGGTTCGTCCCGCCCCTCCCGCCTCCACCCTACTACCCGCCGGAATACAGCTGCACGCCGCCCGCCGACACCCGGAGGTGGGTCCTCAGCTCTGAGGGGGGACCATGCTGGGGGGCACGGGGCTGAGCAGCAGGTGACCTCGGGTCTGTGTCCCATCTTGGCCAGAGCAGGCAGTATGGCATGAAAGCCAGGCTGGCTTCCCTGGGGGACAGCTCCGGGGACTGGGCGGGTGTCCTCACTGCCTCTCACCTGATGCTTCTGCCCCCAGGCACCCCCCACTGGGCTCCCCTGCCTGCCCCTTCCACACTCTACAAGATGCCGGCCCCACCAGCCCCAGCCTGCCGTCCCCCGCAGAGCTTCCCCCACCATACGAGGCCGTGGTGGGCCCAACCCCTGCCAGCCAGGTGAGGCCTGCTCCCGAGAACCCCCGGCCAGGGCGGTAGGTCCTGGGCCCCTGTGCCCACTGCCCATCTTAGCCCCAGGCCTCGGCCTCAGTGCACGGGGACAGCAGCCTGGCTGTGCCGCGGACCAGCACAGGTCCCCAGGTCCGTCACCCCCGGCCATGCTCTGTACTGGTGGGTGGGCTGAGACCCAGCAGTGGAGGGGACTCCCCGGGGCCCGCTGTGAGGGTGGGTAGTGCCGTGGAGACCCTGCGGGTGTCTGTGAAAGAAATAAACTGAAAGCACCTCTGACCGTGGTCCTGGCCTACTCGGAGGGGCTGGGGCCGCTCAGGTGGATGCGTGTGGGGGGTGCAGGAGACCAGAGGCCCTGAGAAAGGCGGAGTGGGCCCCACAGGAGCCCAGGAAGGGACGGAGGAGCCACCTGTCTCACCGGGCCAGGCACGAGCAGGGTGCTTTTGAGGCCTGCGGCATCACCACTGCCCCCTGCCCAGCCCAGCAGCACAGTCCCTAACGGGATTGAGGGAACGGGGCTTGTTTGCCTAAACGCTGGCAGCTCTTGAATTCCAGTGGCACCAGCCAGCCGAGGTTGGTGGCACCTCACTCAGCTCCTCCCCACAGGGCGCCGCGAGCCCGCAGTGCAGAGTGCCATGCCCGTCTGCTGCACAGTGCCCCCTCCCACCTCACCTGTGTGTAGCACCACGCGGACTGGACCGCACTTCCCCCCAGGGAGGCCTGCTCACCGGGGTGACGGGTGTCCCTGAGCTGTCTCCTCTGGAGCCAGTGAGCGATGCTTGTGTGAGGAGAGGTGCTCCCCACTCTGCCCCGTGTGACCCTGACATGCACGCAGGCCCGGGGTTTGCTCTGGTGGCCCTGGGCGCCCCTTGTGCACCTCTGACGAGGGCTGGCCTGGCGTCAGGGGCCGTGGAGGACACGGGCACTGGCTGAGGGGGAGCTCCAGCTCCCCTGGCCGCCCCAGCCCAAGGTCAAGTCCACATGGAGCAAGTGGCAGAAGTTGCATCTGGGTGAGCGAGGGCCCAGCAGGACCCGGCCCCACGTGTGCCAGGGCGTGCCACGTTCACGAGCCCTGGGCTAGGAGCATGCAGCTCGGGGGGGGGG